GGAAAAAGGCGGGAAAAAGATGGGAAAAGCGAGGGAAAATAGACAAGGAAAAAGGCGGGAAAAAGATGGGAAAAGCGAGGGAAAATATACAGGAAATAGGCGGGAAAAGGCGGCAAGGAAAAGGCAGCAAGAAAAAGGCAGAAAAAGACGGGAAAAACACGGAGAAATAGTCAGGAAAAAATAGACACGTCATTACAAGTAACAAAATTTCAAAACATTTTCCAAGGATTCAAGAACGTCTTGATATAAGAAAGCACAAACTGACCTGGAGATGAGAGCCCTTGATGCTGTCTGAACTGGTAGAAATAATCTCATTAAATAACGTGAACATTTCTTTTCTTGGTAACAATGCTGGGCCACTCTGAAAATAAGTACGCCAAGATTAATCCCAAAGACCTGGACAAACGCAGGGACCGCCGAGCTAGGGGTGCTATAGCCCCCAATAATTTTACCACCATATTGAATTACACTGGAAATCAATTTCATTTTTTTTCTGGGGGAGAATACTCCTAGAGGCTCCCGCCTTCATCTGTTGTTTTGTTAGCCCCCCCCCCCCCCCCCCCNCCCCCCCCCCCCCCCACATCAAAATTATGCTCTGCAGTCCTTGAAATGGTGCAACTACATGGGCAGTGTTGCATAACCACAACATTTCAACAAGTTTTGTTCCCACAATCGAAGATATTCTTGAGCAAAAAAAAAAAAAAAATTCACAGCCTACCTCATCTTCTTCTTCATTTTCCTCGATGCTTCTCAACTGACAATGGTATGATATGACTTGCAAGGCTATTGTCCTGAGATCTTCATCACAACCAACAGCTTTACCACCAGCTCGGAGAATGCAGTTGAGCATAGGGAAGCAATAGGTGAAGCCAGGTGCTGAGAGGGGATTCATGTCTTGATCTTCAGGGGAGCTGGGTGAAGTCAGTTGGTGTAATCCAATGACTGCACGAGAAGCAGCTGATTGGAGGCTCTCTTGACACCAGCTGGGTTTGAGGTCACATTGGGGTCGTAATAGTCGTAAAGTTACATGAGATACAAGGGTTCCTGGAGGAAGAAGACAAACGAGAAAGCTTCCGTTAGAAAAGAACAGTTGTATGGAGATTAGAACAGGAATTAGCTATGACTAGGCTGTCAAAAAATTGTATCATACTAGGGTAAAAATAACGAATGAATTAACAGAAGAATAAACGTAATAGGACAGAACAGAATAAAGATGGTAGGATTGCATGAGGTTGACACCAAAATGTGGCTAAATAAAATTTAGGCAAAGTTAAACTCGAGACTGCTGGTCAGCGGTTTCATGCATGTAGGAACTACGACCCCCATTGCACATGTAGTCAGTCTTGCAGATCGTGGCGGACCTTAACTCTTGTTTTTGCAATACACTTGTTGAACGCCAACAATTGTCTTGTTTTCGACCCCACCCTACCTCTACCCTACGGTGAGTATGGTCGGTAAGTATAGTATTTTATTTATTTCCACTGAATTATCAGTGTGTTAGGTGCCAGGTGGTGGACGTGAATGGTAACCATGGTTACCACCTCGTCACTGGTGACTGACACGTCAGCAGTGGCATCAGGGCACCTAATCCCAACCTCATCCTTGCCGATGAGTTTAACTCTACCTACCAAGTTGATTATTATCTTCGTTAAAGATACACTTTCTGAGTGCCAAAACAACAGGAACAGCAGAAGAGGCGGCAAGAGGAGATTGAAGAAGAGACAAGAGTACAGGGAGGATGGTAGGGATGAATTTCTTCATGGCCGCTTGATTTGACTCGATGGCTTTCAGCAACAGCGCTACCAAGTTTGTCAACTCTTGTTTGGTCTATGAAAAAAGGAAAAAGAAATAACAATGGAAAAGCATTTTTTGAGGGGTTGGGGTTGGGTGGGGTGAGAAATCTACATTTACAAAAACCAACAAAAAATCTTCTTTTTCTCCAAAGGAATACATATCATAACGCTACCAAATGCTTTTTTCTTCAGCATTTCTTCATTGGCTGAACTTAATTTGGATTGAATGAAAAAACTAATGACTCTCTCCTAGATTCTTCAAACCTTCCCCTTCTTCTGAAGGAATGAATCCTCCTGCTTAATTGTCTTTAGTTGTCACTTTTAAGTGACAAAACTCAAGTCTATCATCAAGGCGCCATTCATTGTCACAAGCCATACCTTTGAAAACATAGAATCAATGCAAGATTCAAATCGGAGTAACAAACAAACCTGTTTGGTCTTTGCCCTGATTTCTGCCTCAATCCTTAACTGATTGTCATAAGTCTCTTTGTCTTTATCGCTCAGCCCATCTCTGAAGGATATCAATCCTGCTGCTTTCTTTTTTCTCTTCAGTTCCTGTAATGAAAAAAAAAAAAAAAAAGGAAAGAAATGAGAAATTGAAGGGAAGGAAGGATTCCAAGTGGTTTTATCTAGTGGGGACTAAGAAAAAGAGAGAAGAAAGGCAGTGAAGGGAGGAAATGAGGGAGGGAGGGAGAGAAGAATGGAGGACAGGGAGGGAAGGAGGGAGCAAGAGGGGAGGAAAGGGAGGGGGGGGTAAAGTATGTTCCACCTACCTCCTCATACTCCATGGACCATTTCTGGTCTTCGTATGCATATGCTTTCGATTCTTTCTTGACATTTTTTGTTCTCGATTGTTCTGATGCTTTTAAGCTATTAATACAAAAGCACAAAAAATACATCATTAATAGTTTCACAGAACCCTGAAGCAACCTTTGGGCTGATCTTCTGCCTGTATTATGGGTCATAGGTGATCTCTTCAATATGATTTGTTATTTCACTTACCTTTCAAGTACTTTCTTGTTACATATTTCACCATCAGGTGATTCCATGATCTCTACTTCTTCTCTCGTCACTTGGGTGTACTTGCTGTCCGACAGGCATGTGATGAGATGGGTAACCAAAGCAGGTAGGGTCATGGGTGATGCTGCTGCTATGGTCGATACAATGTTCTGCGAGACCTACGAAGCAGTGAAATCCAATCAAACAAATAAAACAGAAAAAGCTAGTCTGATGGTACCCTCATGAATATTGGTGAGCATGAGATGTACAAGTAGCCTTTATTAGTTATTATTTATTATTATTAGTTTATTAGTTATTATTATTATCATAATTATACAGCTTCTCATTAATCCCATATAGGTAACTGTCCAATTATTATTATAATTATAAGCAGTAACGGGTGACACTGCTGCAATGACCAACACAATAAACTGTGTGAACAATGAAACAGTCAAAGGGCCTAGAATAGATCCTTGAAGAACTCCACAACAATAAAAATTGTTATTTCAATGATAATTATTTTACCAAAATGCCATAATTTTTTTTAGCAGTAAGCTCACAATGGAAACTTCCCTGCTAGCAGGGTCTCCCTCATTGGTGATTTTTGGCAGAGAACATTAAAGTGCTACTACGACGAAAATCGCTCAAACTTGGATTCAGCTGAAACTTCCTAAGAATACTCTTTAAAGGTCCAATAATCACTGTATGAAGTGTTTTCTCGATATTCAGGACGAAAGTATGATATTTTTACAATTATTTTTTGGAGTCTGTGACGTCATACACTCAACAT